CCATTCAGTCTTAAAAGGTTAAGTAAATTAATTCCTAATCTCCTACCGTGTAACTAACCGAGTTTCACAAGTGCTTGGCCGTAAAAAGTCTGGGTACGAGACTGCTTTGAAAATTCCTTAAATGTCTTTCCATTTCTAAAACGGTCAGTTTTCCGACTCCTTTTAGATACACTTACATGGTAACAATAAAGCAACACTTCACGACCACTGTCACCTGGACACACTGCCGGCAGAGTTTGGTGGAAATAAGCCTGCAGTAAACCGCACCTACTGGGCACGAGTATTACTCGATTTGGAGAAAACGAACCGAAGTCACGTGTACGGAGAAAACCCATTCAGAGGGTTGCTTAGCATGGATATTGACAAGTAAGAAATCCCACACGTGATTAACACGTGGTCATTCAGGCTTAAAGAGAAAGAAAACCTGGGGACTTGGCTTGGCAATTGAGAAGCGCTCGTACAAGTTTGGACAAGCCTAATTCATCAGCAGAAAAAATGCAGAGAGTAGAACACAGAGCTGTTGGTTTGCAAATTCATAGAGTGGTGGCAGTTGGAAAATTCTACTAAAATTGTAATATATTATCTGAAAAAGAAAGATTTCCTGAAACTAGTGGTTTCAGAACATGCAAGAGAAATAACAAAACTTGATGTTGTACAAATAAATAACCTTCATTTTGATAAATTGCTATAAGAGCCAGTGCACTAGACTCTGGGTTAAGAGGTCTGTGTATTGGTGTTGTACTCTTAGGCAAAACACATTGCTTTTACAGTGCCTCTCTACACCCAGGAATATAAATAGATACTGCCAGATTGTTGGTAAAGCCTGATGAAATGCTAGGATGAGCGCAGAGGGGGGGAAATGAAGAGTAACCTGCAATGAGTTAGCATCCCTGTCAAGGGATTAGCAATTCTCTGAGGCCCAGTTGTATAAAGGACGGATATTGCTATCCAATGGATAAATTGCTATCTCAGGTGATAGCAAAACATACTGTGCCATCCACCCAGTAAAGATTTATCAAGTGGATAGCATTATCCAAGCTTTGAATAAACAGGGCCTGACCTCTTCATACTACAAAGTGGGATACATGCCAACTGAATGAGTCACTTAACTTTGATTTTACTTTTGAAACTTCAGTTGGAAAAGTTAGCCACATAACAAACTGTCATTAAGCTCCCTCAGAATAAAGTCACCTTGTTTCAAACACTATCTCAGTTTTGTGTATTTTTAAATGAAACCTAGTGATCTTAAGTCATCTGTACATAAGGATATGACAACTTGTGCTGCTTACAAACCAGGCAAACTGTTGTAATGGAGTGGTTGATGACTTTGATTCCACTTCACATCTGGAAAAAGTACCCATCAACAAACAGAATTCTCCACATGTTTGAGTCCTGAAAATGCAAAATTGAACCTACAGTCTTGCTGTATGCAAAAGATTTTTCACCAAAGCAAAGGATAGTAACTCCTTCCTGCAGCTAAAAAATCTTTGGCTGCACAGGGCATGTATGCCCATTCTGCTTGTTTTTTTAAGCATGTGAATAAGTTACTCACCGACTGGTAAGTAAGTCTGACATAAAGGCTCTAAAAACTATCAGCCATAAATGTGTACACAATTTCTGCAGCATCTAAAAAAAGAGCTTGTTGTGTAAATCAAAGATATTTTGCTCTCTTTGCTGCAATCTCCCTCTCGGTACCAAATTCATAATATTGAGGTGCAAGGGTGTAAAGCCATGATGGATCAATCTTGGTGATATCTCTCATGTATTCCTTGGATGTCTGGAGCACTTCATGGTATATCACCCACTGTGGTGGAGTTTCCGTGTACAAGACAGATGTCGGGTGGATGTAGAGTGGATGGTCATCCCGCACAGTGCGGTATGACCCTGATGGATGTAAGCGTGCAGCATTAGCAAAGAATCCACTTACAATGCACTGACAGATTGAGTCAATGTCTCCATCACAAGAGCCTAATGGCACTTTAAATTGTAAAAGGAGTTTCTTGAACTGTTCTCGGATTTTTACAGCATGGCAGAGTCCTTTGTAGTTCAGGAAGTTCTCATGACACCACTTTGAGCTTTTCTTAAACTTCACAAAGGCTTCATAAACATTCAGTAGAGTTATGTGATCTCCTTCATAAACAGAGAACTTTCTCTTGGCATTGTCAGCTGCAGCTTTCTGTTTGCTTGGGCTGACAAAGACATTCTGTATCTGCAGCATGGCTGCAATTGTAAGGATTTCTTCTGAACAACCAAAATCTCCTGATGACAGCAGCATTTTGGCTATCATTGGATCTGTAGGGAGCTCAGACATGTTTACTCCTAAGGGATCAGCTAACTTTCCATGCTGGTCAATTGCTCCAAGAGCATACAACAGTTCCAAACCACGTATCACACTCTGGGCAGGAGGACGCGCTGGGAAATTGAACTGGAGAATGTTGTCAATCCCCATGCATTTCAGTTGTAACATGACAGATGCCATGTTACATCTTTGCATTTCAGGCACAGTAGATGGTTTAAGACCATCAAAATCTTGCTCTGTATAGAGTCTGTAAACCTTCCCTGACCTTACACGACCAGCCCTGCCAGCGCGCTGTTTTGCTGAAGCCTGTGATACTGGTACAACGACTAAACTTTCAACTCCAACTTTGGGAGAGTAAGCTCGCAACTTTACAAACCCACAGTCAATGACATATACAATTCCATTTATGGTAATAGATGCCTCAGCAATGTTTGTGGCCACTACAACCTTTCTTGTATGATGGGGAGTTGGCTTGAAAACCAGCATTTGCTCTGAATGTGGAAGACCACTGTACATAGGCAGCACTTTAAGGTACTGAGAACCCTTAGGCTGTTCTCTCGCTCTCTCAATCAACTGAGCAACTACAGCTTCTACTTCATCTTGGCCTGTGACAAATGCAAGAATGTCACCATGGGCTTCCTCTTTGTGGATTCCCATGACAGTATCCACTGTTGCTTTTAAATAATCAGGAACAGGACTTAAAGTGTAATGTATTTCTGTGGGATAGGATCGTCCCTTAACTGACAAAATTGCTGCAGTATCCTTGCTGCGATCTTTGGTAATGTTGGTGTTGAAAAAATCTCTGAACATCTCTGCATCAAGAGTAGCAGAGGAAACGATAATCCTTAAATCCTTCCGCTTTTTCTTGATCTTTTTCAACAGCCCTATCATAATGTCAGTGTGCAGCGTCCTCTCGTGAGCTTCATCCAACATGATCACACTGTACTGTGATAATAAAGGGTCACTCATCGTTTCCCTCAACAACACACCATCTGTCACAAATTTCATACGAGTAATTTCTGGATTGCAACAGTCGTCAAATCGGATTGTATAACCAACTTCCTCGCCAATAAACGAACCTCTCTCCTCTGCGACTCTTGATGCTACAGTAACAACAGCCACTCTGCGAGGCTGTGTAATGCACACTTTCCATTTCCCTGCCGTCCAGCCACTCTCATGAAGATACTGAGGAATCTGTGTAGATTTTCCGCAGCCGGTTTCTCCGACGATTATCACAGTTTCGTATTTCTCTAAGAGATATAAGATATTCGTTCTGTGCATAAAAATCGGAAGCCTTTGCCTTTGAAGAGAAATGGATAATGAGCTGTTTGGATTGTAAACAGCTGCAGCTGCAGTGTCGTTATCATTAAGTGGTCTTTCTATCGCGACATCACCGCCAGGTTTTTCAGTGTCTGGTTTCCAAAAGCGTGGTTTAAAACTTGCCGAGCTGGCCGCCATTTTGGTTTTGCCGCCGATCGAAGTCTTTGCGCACACTCAATTTGCAATACCGCTACATCTTGAGTCAGGGCTCAAATTCAGTAAACGCGTAAAGTCGCGAGGATTCGCGTTGATCCACTCGAGCTGTGATGAAGTGAATTTGTTCAAATTGTCGTTTAGAAGATGGCTCCACCTCGAAAAAGGGTGACTGGCGATCGAAAGAAGAGTAAGTTTGTTGATGATCTAATTTCTAAACCAATTTTTTGAGAGAAAGCTGCATACTTTGCTGAAAATTCCTGTGAACAGCACGCAGGAAGCTGCAGAAATTGTATGGAATCGTAACGGTTGAACAATTAAGGGCAGCTGTCTAAAAATTTCTTATCAGTCCAATTAGTTACATATACCTCAGACATGTGCAAAAGGTATATATTTCTTTTTATAACCGTAGCAAAATTAAGCGTGGAAAACTCAGAAATAAAAACTATTTTTATTTTAGCGGCATATCAGGATTATTTGATGCATTATCGTACACACATTCATTAATTAAAATTAAGAAACTTTCACAACTATTCATTCGAATATATAAAACGTTGGTGTAATCAGTAAACTATAACAAACACTATTTCAGGAGAAAATATTTTTCATAGAGATAAACGATTCACAAAGATATTTTTTGTATGTTTTATTTTTTTGAACATGATAGTATACGTGGCTCTTTAATTTACCTAGACAGGTGTATTTGTCAAATCCTAAATGGTGATTAATAATTCATTAGTTGTCAGTTGAGATAAGGACTGACAATATTAACTGTTTTCTTTATTTCCTGTAGAGCAGTGAAATATACAACAGGATATGGGTATTTTCTTGAGAATTAACATCTGTAAACTTCATTTAGCTTTCTATGTTATTTTTTTGTCATTATTTTTTTAGTGTGAGTATGTTAATAAACATGAAAAGTTGCAAAACTTCATGACAAACCAGATTCCTTTCAAGAATTTTGCGTATTAATTTTATAAAATTGTCTTACATTTTAACCCTTAAACTCCCATGAGTGATCAAGAAAGGATTGCTCCTAACAATATAAGTACAATATCAAGCAAACAAATGGTGAGAGTAAAGAAAAATAAACAATAGGGGATCATGTGTTAATCCAATCATAAATTCTCCAAACTAACACGATAAGAATTAATTGACAGACAGTAAGGAGAATTACTGTGGAGATCCTGAGAGTGAAAGGGTTCATGGGAAAATCTGTTGGATGTAAACCCCTAATATTGACTAGAGTCTAATATCTCATTACAATATCACCCCTAAATCACACATCAAGGTTAGGAGAATACAAGAAATGATCAAAAACTAAAGGAGCTCTTGATGGTTAATCATATTCTTCTTGTCAGAAAATTCTTAGAAAATTTATTGAGAACAGTTCAGAAAATATGCATACTACAGATGTGAAGGTGTAAAGGGTTATTAATGACTATCTTATTTTCATATCCTAGATGTTAATGATTCTACAACAAATAAATCAACAAAGACGTCAAGTAAATCTAGTGAGTCATCAAATTCTTCAGTAATCAAGTGGATTGCTTTTGCAAGCATCATCCTAATCCTGGTATCACTTGTTGCGATATATTTATTTGGAAAAAATCAAGAGGACTCAAATTTAAATCAGAACTCAAGGCAAACCTTCAAAACAGAGACAGGATCACCTGAGAAGACAAAAAAGAAAACCAAAAAAACAAAACCATCAGATTCAAATGAGGCCATAACCAACAGCTATGATAAATCCATCGTGAAAGAACTTGACAAGGCACAGAGTATTTTAGACAAGAGTAACATAGCAGATGCCTTACAAAAGTTTGAAGCTCTGACAAAGAAATATCCCAAGAGTCCAAGAGCTATGTATGGAAAGGCACAATCCTTAGATAAGTTGTCAGAACTAAGGCAAAGCAATGATATTCTTCAACAAAGCATAGAGGCTTATGGAAAAACAGCGGACATGCTGAACTGCCCCATGGAACTGAAACACAGAGCAGTGCGACGTCAGGCTGATAGGCTTAGTTTCCTGGGCAGGTCTAGTCAGGCAGCAAATGCTTTAAGGAGCCTGTTGAATGAGTTCCCAGGTGACATCAAGGTCATGAATGAATTGGGTGTGCAGTATTTGATGACAGGAAAGAACAGGGATGCAGAAAATATCTACAAACAGGTGAGTTTGGGAGTTAGTAGTGTTTTTGGATGAGGATGTTGTTGAAAACCTCCCACAAGATCCTCCAAACACAGTCAGTGTCATTATGATAATATCATTTTTAATTAGTTATGGAGACACCAGTAATTATAATCTGGTTCCTGGAGCATTCCCCTCCTTTAACTCCTTCACTCCCAAGATCTCATCAGTAATTCTCCTTACTGTCTGCCATACAATTCTTATGATGTTAGTTTGGAGAATTTGGTATTGGATCAACTAATAATTGTGCATTTGATATTTTCTTTATTCTCAACACTTGTCTACCTGACTGGTATTGATATTGTAAGGAGAAATTCTGTCTTGATCACCCATGGGAGTTAAAGGGTTAATCAACTTATTGCTAAGACTAGGGAATTTATCAGCCTGTTTGATTAATAGTCTCTGATGGAAAGTTTTCATTTTTTTTCTTTCTCAGGTGATAAATATGGATCCAAGAAATGGCTTTGCCCAGTCACACTTGGGCTTTATTCTTAAAACTGATCACTTGCGGTATATTGAAGCTATCCCTTTGCTACGTAATGGGATCTCGAGTGGTGAAGCAGGTGCTGATGATGGAAGATTTTATTTTCATCTGGGGGATGCTTTTACTAGAATTGGAAGACCAGATGAGGTGAGAAACCTTGTTCTAACCAAGTGCTGGGTCACACTATGCCAAAACTACCTTAAGTTTTGTGTAAAAAATTTAGTTCTTTTTTTCCCAGACAACTGAAGATAGTTTGTGTGTTAGAAAAAGTTGATTTGTTTGTCCATAGAATCTAATTTCCTTTTTTAGCCAACTGATGGTGCATTGATTATCGCATGCAGTCCAAAGTATGTAAAGAAACAGGATGTTGATTGATTTCTCTTGCACAGGCTTACAAAGTATATGAGGAAGCTGCAGGAAAAGGAATATTCATGTCTGCTTTGCAACGTTCTTTGTACAATGCAGATACACCGCTGACCGCACAACCGTGGTGGACACCAGAAGAAACTGGATATGAAAGAGCCATTCGGTACAGATATTAACCCTTTCATTCTCAAGATCTGACTGTTAACTCTTCCCTCTAGTTGCTACACATTTCCTTCTAAACAAGTTACAAGAATTTGGTGTTAGATCTCTGGATAACAACTTCTACTTGATTAGTTTGAGTATTCTCATTACCTGTTTGCTGGATTATGTATGGATATTATAGGGAGAAATTATATGTTAATCACTTCTGAGAATGAAAGAGTTGATTTACAACCTTTATGAGCAGTTTGATTGGTGATGGTGTAAACTACTCTATGGCTGGACTATGACAACAGTTTGATTGTGATGGTGAAAACTACTCTATGGCTGGACTATGACACAGCATTTTTCCTTGGCCAAGCAAAATATCACATACCCCTGAGTATTTTCAAGGAAAGGCATTGAGCATCACACTTTGATTCTCTCTTCAATTCTTCAATTCTTTATGGCTGATGTCCAAAAATTCTGCTCAACAAAAATCACTGACTCACTAACCCCTTAACCAGTTGAGGCTCAGAAGTGATTAAAATGTAATTTCTCCCCATTGTATCCATACATTATCTAGCAAACAGGTAGTGAGAATACTCAAACTTATCAGATACAAGATATTATCTTGATGGAACACCAAATTCTCATAACCAATTTACAAAAAAATGTGTAGTAGCCAGAGGAGAGAATTAATTAACAATCAGATGATGGAGGTAAAGGGTTACTTAACCTACCTTTTTTGACTTGCATATGATAATCAACCAGGGCCCAATTGTATAAAGGTCAGATAACGCTATCCATCAGATAAATTGCTATCTTGCAGATAACTGGTGGCAAAACATATAGCGTTATCCACTGGATAGAGTTTTATTGAGTGGATAGTGTTATTCAACCTTTGAACAAATGGGGCCATTTCCATCTTCTTCAAACTTCTTTAACTCCCATGAGTGACCATGACAGAATTTCTCCTGACCACATCTATACAATATCATGCAGAAAAGTGAGGAGAATAAATAAAAATATCAATAATTATTATGAAATTACTAATTGATCCAATACCAAATTCTCCAAACCAACATAATAAGAATCACTCAGCAGACAGTAAGGAGAATTACCAATAATATCTTGGGGTTTGTCATTTATGAAACAAGGAAACTTGAAGCCAACTGGGAGGTCATCAAAGATGAAGGAATATCATTGCTAGACCAAAAGTCAGGAGGGTTTATACCAGAAGAAGAAAATCTCAGAGAACAAGGAGACTGGAAACAGTTCACTTTATACCAACGTGGCCGAAAGAACGCCGCAGCTTGTCAAAAGACACCACAGACTTGTGCTATCATTGATACCATCAAAGATGCTACCAGCTGTAAGAGAGGACAGGTATGTTTGGAACAACCCGGGGGTGAGGATCAAGAGGAGATCATGTTGTCTACTCACAATTTGAATCATTATTTGTCTCAAAAATAAAGTAAAAATGGGGTGGACAAAGTCGTAAATTTTGTACATCACAATGTGAACCAAACCAGGGGAATGTTCTTATTTTGCCACTAGTAGTGTGTGATCATCAATTTTTGTTGAAGATAAGTTTATTTTAGGGATTTGTGCTTCGCTGTTTTTTGTTGCTTAGATCAAGTATTCTGTGATGCTACCTGGCACCCATGTCTGGCCCCACACGGGTCCTACAAACTGCAGACTACGCCTTCATCTCGGACTTGTTATTCCCAAAAATGTGGCTATAAGAGTTGGACGGGAAACAAGGTAATAATGATGATAATTTGTTGTGTTTGCTTACTTGTTTGAGCTGGCTGGCTCTCTGACTGGGTGGCTGAATGACTGACCAACCCACTTACCAATTGACCATTAAACCCACTTACTGGCTGACTGAATGAATGACCAAATAACTGATGGACTGACTGAATGAATGACGGATGGACTGTCTGACTGTCACACTGATTGACTGACCCAATGACTGACTGAATGGCAGAATGACTGACTGATTGACTGACTTATGACTGACTTTCTGATTGAATCATTGACTGAATAAATGACAAAATGAATGACTCTGACTGAATGACTCACGGAGTGAGTGATTGATTGACTGACTGAATGACTGAATGACTGAGTGACTGACAAGAGTGACTGAGTACTGACTGAATGATTGCGTGACTGATACAATGACTGACCAGGAGAAATGAGTGATATACTGAAGGAGTATGCATTTTCTCATGTTTATCTTCCTTGTTCTTACAGAACTTGGGAAGAAGGCAAAGCACTAATCATTGACGACTCTTTTGACCATGAAGTTTGGCACAATGGTTCAACTTTTCGACTCATTCTTATTGTCGACTTTTGGCATCCAGACTTGACACCTCAGCAAAGAGCTTCATTATCTCCCATTTAAGCCCAATTTTTACACATTTTTTAAGGTTGGCACATGAAGACTTGCCACAGTCTCAATGAGGAACTGTTTACAAGGGTTTATGGGGAACAAAGATGAACACCTTAACCCTGTGACTCCCATTGGTGACCAAAAAAGAATTTCTCCTTACTCTATCAAGACAATGTCAAGCAGACAAGTGACAGGAGTAAAGAAAATTATCTGTTAGTTGATCATAAGTTGATCTGATATCAAATTCTTCAAATTCTCATGACAAGAATTGTATGGTATACAGTAAAGATAATTATTTATGAGATTTTGGTAGTGAAAGGTTTAAGTGGTAAACACGTTAAGTCTCCCTACAACATCAGTTCAGTATCTGGCCTGTTCCAGCTGCTCAGTTGCTAAACCAAAGCACAATAGGATCAATATCAGTATCTGGGCAACTGCCCACCAACCCCTCCCCTAACCCAACCTTAACCCTAATTTGCTATCAATCGACTGTTGTCAAGTTAGGGGAGGGGTAGGTGGGCAGTTGCCCAGATACTGATATTGATCCACGCAATAGTAGTAGAGGAGGAAACAAAGAGGGAGGTTTTGGTGGGGCTGCATAATGTTCTTTACCCAAGTATTCCTTGTGTTTTCACTTCTCTGCTACTATTACACCATTTGCTATTTTGCCGTGTTTTACAAACTGAAGGCCTAGAAAAGGCTCTTCATTATCTGTTAAACAGGTGACAGCTCAGCCTGATGATGGACAAGTACAAAAAAAATCAATCAAAAGGAGATTCATTTATTGATCCTGCTTTGCCTCTTTTACTGAGTTTTTCCTGCACTTGCTTCCCATTGAATTTATTGCTTTTTAACTCATTTTAGACATGGAAATAAAATTTTCACTTTTTTTTCTTGTCCTCTATGAAAATAAAATTGTTAGAAAGTTATGTTATGTAGGCTTCTAGTAATTTGAAGCAAATTAGAAGCCTTTTCCATCATTTATCAGTTTTGTTAGAGATTAAGATATTTTAGTATGATTTTAGTAATATGTAATGATATATTTTGCATGTGGATTGTTCATATCAACAGGAACAATGTTGAAGGACAAGATTTAAATCTGTCAGAATGCACTGACCGCTAAAAAATCACAACAAACCCAGACTCAGCTTCAACAGTTGCTGGACATAAAAAAGTTTTGTGTCAAAGTGGTTTATTGTGTGTCCAAATTAAATGTAAGCTTTGTAATTAAATATGATTTTTATGAATTATTGTCCACGAAAAATGAATTTTTCTAGTAATCACACCTTTATACTTGAACAGATTTTGTATGTTCACCAACTTGTTAAATTCCACAACTTTCCAAAACCTTTTCAAGGACCTTACTGTATCTCTCATGTGCAGTATGATCGATCAGTTTAGCAGGCAGTATTTCACTGTATGGCCTGCCAAATTCAGAAGTTTGTTTGAATTAGAATCTTCTTTTTGAACCTAGAGATGTAGGATACCCTACTCTATTACTTTTGCCTTTTCCCCTTTCAGAAGGCTTTCAATATACATTTTGATGTGAGAGGATACATGTGTTGACGTCCATACTTTAATTGATAAATTTTGAAAGTTTTAGTCTTTAGTTTCCTTTGTTATTGTTGCTGGTTTTTTTACTTTTTTGCATGTAATTTTATTTCTGTACTGATTTTCATTGTTTGTGCATATGCATGCTCTCCTAGTCATTTCCTCTGTTCAGTCAAACTTGTTATTGAAAACTCTATTTTAATGTTTGTTTCACTCCCACCTCAGCTTTGCTATTTTGTGAGTAGGAATTGTTAGATATGTATTTTGATTGCTAAAATAAAAAGATTTTGTTTGTTTGTTGTGTTTTGTTTGTTTGTTCTGATACCGCAAACCAATCAAAACTTTACTCAATTGTTTAGGGAAAGTTTATTGCAGACTGTTTTGTCCTTGTTACTTTAGTTCAAAAGATAGCAGGTATTTGTACAGCAATTATCACAGCTAGTTATCTGCTACAAAGCAACATGGTGATCATAAGAATCACAGACTGATTGAAAGTTCTTGGAACAAATTTCATGCTTGTGGTTCTTATTTCAAGTCCCTTTAAAAACTGCATCACACTTCCTGACACAAACACACCTACTATGATTCTTAGGGCATGTACAATGTTTAACAGTGACAGTTCTCAGCTTGTTTCTGCCAATTAATATCAAAACAAAGCTGAATTCAAAGACACTCTAAAATTTTTCCTTTTGTGTAATACTAATCCTTCACACCTAGTTTGTGCACCAGTAATCCTTTTCAACACAAAATGACCTAGATATTTGCTTTTGATTTTTGCTATCAAATTTTTAATTGAGTAAAAACATTGTAAAAGTAATTTCCTGGTTCAAATCCAGACAGTGATCTTTCCAGGCCTCTGTAAAACCAGGACCTTCTTTGACCTGTTTCACTTTAAAACTACAACACTGCTGCACCACAACCTGCACGGCAAATGTTCATGTCCTGTACAAAACGCCAAGTATCAGTTTCTGGATCGTACACTTCAACACTGGAGAGCCTGTGTGCACCATCAAATCCACCTAACACAAAAATCTTGTTGTCATACACTGCCACTGATGGCCAAGCCCTTGGTGTGTTCAACGGCGCAACCGGCTGCCACTGATGTGTCTGTGTGTTGTATCTTTCTGCAAGATCAAAGTAATGATCTGTGCTTCTGTTTCGACCTCCAAGTGCATACAAGAAGTTGTTTAGAGCAACAAGGGACATGCCAGAGCGTGCTTTTTCAAGTTCTGTTACAAATGTCCATGTGTCTGTATCAGGGTCATAGCATTCAACACTTGCTCTGTCACTGTGAACACCTCGATCGTAGCCTCCAGCAATGTACAGCTTCCCTTTGATGAAAAAAGATATGTCAACCTTTTGACTTTCATGAGCGACCAAGACTTAATTTTCTCTTAGAGTATCAATACATTATTGAAAAGACAAAAATGAGAAAAATATGAACTAAGGGATTCCTAGATGATCTAATACCAAATTCTCTGAAATAACATCAAGAGAACTGTATGGCAGACAGTACAGAGAATTACTTATGAGATTCTGATGATCCAAAAGTTCAGAAATCAGACTTTTAGGCCATAACATCTTACATAAAGCCGAGCATAGTTCAAATAATTCTGCCTATCTAATGTGACAAGCAGATTTGAAATCAAATTTGAAAAAAATTATTGACAAGTTATGTAACACCGTAGAATCTCAAAAAGTATTTTGAGAAAAATTTTTTAAATACTTTTCATGGCAGAGATAGCAGTCAATAATTTCTGGAGTACAGTTTTTTCTTAACCTTTAAAATCCTAAGAGTCACCAACAATTCATTCCTCCTTGTGGTAATAATGCTGAGTTGTTTAAGACAATCACAAGAATTAAGGAAATGATCATTAAGCTAAGAAGCACTGTGTGTTAAACAATTCTCCTTGTCAGTGCCGAGGTAAATGTACAGAGAAGAGTAAGGAGAATATTTATACTGATGTTAGGGTGTAAAGAATTAGGGACAAAAAAGTTGTACACAAACCATCACAAACAGCAACTCCTGCTCCAGATCTCTTCCTTCGCATACACTGCACTGTACTCCAGTGATCTGTCTTTGGGTCATATCTTTCAACATAGTTATAACTGCATGTTCTGTCTTCACCTCCCAGGGCATAAACGTAACCATTTAAAGCTGTCACTGCAATAAATGACCTCTGAATGGCAATATCAGCCAGCGAAATCCACTGATTGACTGCTGGATCGTAGCACTCAGCATGTCGCACGTACATGGTGTCATCATGAGGAGCACTAACTGCACACTCGCCACCTACTACATAAAGAAGTCCATTGAGGCTACAAGCTCCAACTGCTGTTCTGGGATATTTCATGTTTTGCAGCATAATCCATTGGTTTGTTAATGTATCGTATCTCTCTAAACTTGAAAGCTGGCAATCTATACCATTTCGTCCGCCTATGACATAGACAGCTTGCGGCTGAGCTCGAGGCAGTGTCATATACCGAGGCAAATTACGAGCGCTCTCGTTAAGAACTTTAGCCAATAGGAGCTGACAATCAGCATTGTTCTTGATAATTTTAGATGGAAACACTCGGGCTTCGAGAAATTCGAGAGTTAACAAAGGAAGCCTAACGTGACTTAGAAGCTCAACCGCATAATCCTTTCGTCGACAGAAATCGTTTAAAATCCACGCCTCCACAGCTTCGAACACTTGGTTCTCAGAACGTACCTGAAGAAGGTCTTCGCGAAGAAGACTCCTCAAGGCTTGTTTTGGCATTTGTAAGAATTCCTCACCCTTCGCTACATCCAAGAAGTGTTGGCGTACGAAACGATAGGCAGCTTCTTCGAGTTCTGAACACGAATACAGATCTGCAAATGCTCGGATACCGAGACAGTTCGTAGCATCTAGGTGTGTCTGAAGAAAACCACAACAAACTGTTCTTAAGCTCTGCAGGTTTAACAACGAAGCAGCCGATAAAAGTGCTTGCACGTTCTCCACAGTGACATCGATGGCTCCAGTATATGCAAAATCGAGTAATCCGTCCATGACACTCGCTTCAACGCCCTGTAGTTTAATGTCTTTCATGCCACTTTCCAACATACCATTTGTAAACATGGCTCGTAAGTAAGAACTGGCTCCAGCAAGGACAATTCTGTGCGCGGGAAATTGGCGACCATCGACATGGAGAACCACGTCACATAATTCACCTTTTCTTCGCAAATCGTTCATAGTTTTCAATGCATCGTTGGAATGCAGAGGGATATTGAACCTTCGATGCGCCGCCATGGCGTGGTTTGACAGGTTCTCAATTTTCTTGGTAAGATTTTCACGGCCCCAACATCATTTCACTTTCGTTGTTTTCCTCGATTCCACTTTCGTAATGTCCAAAATAAGGGGACATCTGATTGGTTAGTTCGCGTAATGTGCCAAAATAAAAGCGTAATTGATTGGTTCGTAATCAAGTAAATTATACCTTACCGCTGTACTAGCATTAATATCGTGGACTCGGGTGTAAGAACAGAAACCCTTCCAACCAAATCACGCTACGATGTTTTTTACAACGAGATTTTCATCTATTTAAGTTTTTTTTTTTTCAAAACATGATTTACTTCGAAAAAAAAGATAAACCATTATTTAAAGGGTCAAATTAAAAAAAAAATTGAAAAACAAATTTTTTGAATGAGTTTTTATTTTATCAGAGGGCTGATGGAACAAGAATGTTCCCATTTTACTTTTTCAACCGGGCGGAAAGAGCCGCGAGGCGAACGCGAAACGTGGGTGACACACGAGTGTCCGCGCGAGGACCAAAATTACGCTAGTCATGTAGACTAAAGGCCGTGGGGAACAACAAGGAACAGAATTAAAACCTACCCCTCCCCTAACTCAACAACATTAGGCCGAGACAACTTAGGGTTGATATTGCTAGGGGAAGGGTAGGTACACATAGGTGCGTAGTTACTCAAATACTGACATCGATCATAAAGATTTCTCAAGTTTATGCCAAAAATCGTTTTTTTTTTTTTTAATCTATTTATCCTTATTAGAATTATTCATTTTAAATAGATGATTTTAATCTCAGTTTTTACCAGAAAATAATTCATACTGTTTCTATTTTTTATGTGTATTTGCTGTAATGTTTTTTAGCTTTGAGTCAGATGATGTTTTAAAGTAAGTCCAATCTAAGAGTTTTATACTTTCTTGTATAGCTTGATTGATTTAATTTTCGATTTGTAATTTGAGGGTCTCAAGCTTATTAGTTTCTTCTTGAGTTATGAACTCTTTAACTCCCAAGATCTGATTGTTAAATCTCCCCTCTAGCTGCTACACATTTCCTTAAAGTAATATAATATTTCCATTCCTTTTCCCTACACCAATATAAGGAAACCCTTACAATATTTCAGATTAAATATAGTCCCATTTTTATCGTTTAACAAAGTGTTAACAATTGAGTTGAAAACGTAAATTGGCCACCGTAAAGGGTAAAAAAGCTTTTCGAGCGTTTCGAGCGTTAGCCCTTCGTCAGAGCGATTGGAGGAATTGTGGGTTGTGTGTGGGTTTATACGCAGAAAGTGGGGCTACGCTGTTGGTGGGAATATGGTGACGAGAAAACAGGAATAAATTAGTTGAATGAATAGCGCTCGTTGATACCGTGGGGATTAAGAGTGCCGATTTGGAAGATAAATTTTGGTTCTATTGTTCTGCGGCTTTCCGAACTGCCTAGATGTAAGGAAAGGCTGTAAACTGCCATATCTTGTTTGAATGATTAGGGAGATTAAAGTGTCTAGCGACTGGTTTGGATGCGTCCTTGTTAGTTCTTTCCACGACGCGAAGGTGTTCTCGGAATCGGTCACCTAGTCGTCTTCCTGTTTCGCCAATGTATAACTTATTGCAATAGGTGCAAGTAAATGACATTGGCGGAGGTACATGTTAAGTTTTCAGTGATCCTAATGGATCTCTTGGGTCCCGATATTTTCTCTACGTTATGAATGAAAGGACAATTTTGCATCGTGAGCGAGCGCATTTGAAAGTTCCAGATTGGTCATTGGTTTAAAATGAACTTCTGACCAAAACGTTGCCTATGTTTTTGTCACGTTTCAATGAAATAAGTGGGGGTTGCGAAAAGATAGTGCCAGTCTCTGAATCGTTTTGGAGTAATTTAAAGTTTTTTAGAATGATAGATTTAACCGCGTGGTTGTGAGGGTGAAATGTAAGAGTGAATGGAATGCGGTCAGTGTTTTCCTTCTTAGCCATTCGTAGTGCTGACTGTCGATCAATTTGTTGGGCGCGGTGGTGGCCCGCTTGAACGACAGAAACAGGATAGCCACGTTTATCAAAAAACTGGCACATTGCCTCTGATTTTTCGGAGTAACTATGTGAATCTGTAGGTTTGTAGTAAATACTAGTGCATAAACTACAAACCTACAGATTCACATAGTTACTTGTTTGTAGTTTATGCATTAGTGTTTACTACAAACCTACAGATTCACATAGTTACTTGTTGTATTCATCTTCACATCCACCACACGTCAAGAACTCCATAACTTTTTCACAGTTTCCCAGACTTCGTCGTTTATGTAGTGACGACTCTGATTTTTCCGAAAAGAGTGTGATGTTAAGTCCGTCAATATAAAAAAACTTCTACAATTTCTACCTGATAATTTAACTTGATCGGTTTAAGATAAGTTTACGATAAGTTTACGATAAGTTTGAGAAGATACACGTTCATCAACTGTTACTTTATAAGTTCAATTAAGATCTTACAATACCTTGCTTATGTAGTTTGAAAGAGATCTACGGACAAACTGAAAAACTTTACCAGGAAAGTGTTATAAAGTAACAAAGATTATTCTGAGTATACAGAATGGAAAAATATAAACATAAATATGAAGAACAAAAGACAACTTTTCATTGCGCCCCACATACGTTCTATCACAGGAGGCCAACGGTAACCATGTACGTGTCGATCAATTATGATAACAGATGAGCATTCATTTCTGAATCCTTTACATCGCTTAAATTTGCCGTCTTAAGGCTCAGAAACAGGTAACAGTAAGTCTTCAGTGTTGTCAAGTGAAACTATTAGGCGCACTTTGTTACAAAAGCATGGAAATTTTCGATATTCCATCGCCTAGCAAACAGGCCCTTCCTTCGAGTCTCGAATAATACCCGTGCAAAAACCATACTGGTGGCCAGGACTTTAAGAATATATCTAATATAACTCCAAAAAACTTAACTTGGCCAACTGTTTTGATACAACCTCAGAACCAAACAGACGGTGAAAAAAAAACTTGAAGGCAGGAGAATCAAAAGAGCGAATTTTGATTACATTTCATTTCAAAATTCTAATGTAAATAGTTTTTCTGGAGCCTGGGCGGCCTGCGGTGTCTTTCAAAGAAGGTGGTAATTCTCTTGCGTTTGCTGTTTTGTTTAGCAAATGCGGATGATAATTTCTACGCAGGCAAACATTACCCATCGTAAAATTTCTCTCTTAAATATCAGTAATAAAATATCAGAAAAATATCAATGAGGGGATTATTAGTTGATCCAATTCCAAATTCTCCGAACAAACATTATTAGGGTTGCTTGAAAGACGGCTAAGGAGAATTGTTAATGAGATCTTGTGAGTAACGGGATTAAATTTGTGACGTATCTCCCGGTGAGAAAGGACCGCTGAGCGAGAAACTGTTTCTTTTCAAATTCTTCTGACATTGTTATGAATATATACAACACAGATTTCTGCCAATATGTTTTCGTTGCTTAGTGAGCCGGCAAGTGTGTCACTCTATTATAGACCAATGATCATCACAGTTGTATGAAGAACTGTAGTAAATAAATGCACCCGAGCAAGCTTTGCTGCTTAGATAAGAATTACTGCCGGCGTGGAAACGTTTTTCGTAAGTTATTCGCATTTTCATTATCATCTGATGATTTTTTTTTATACATGAAAGTCAATTCAAGTTTCAAGCGCTCTAATTCATTACTATGTCTCAATTTACTACCTCGTTATCCTACTCAATTGTAATTTATATGCCTTCTCTTTGTCCGCAAATATGGTCTCAAGCGCTGAAGGAATTTTTTTAAGTGTTGTCGAGTCAGATTATGGCTCGATATGTTTCTGTACTCGAAACAACATTCGGGACACGCAGGCGGGTTGTTTTCTTTAAATTTTCACGCTGGTCTTACACGTGGTTCTGTGCCTGGATGTTCATATAATTGATCAGGGTTTCTTTTGAGGGAAGATCATTTTTTATTCCGGTTAAGCCTGTTGCATATAAGTTCACGACAAAGCGAATGCAGAGAACTGTGTTGGGGAAAACTTTACAAGTCTTATCGACGTAAAGAACTATTTAAAAGTTAGAATTTTTATGCTAGAAAAAATTTAGAATTTAGTTACATAAAAATTCAAACTGAGCCTTTGCATATGTTAATTCTTGCGGTATGTCCAGCATAAGTATTCAATTCTTATTAGAATTTTAATGTATGCTAGGCTACGAAGAACAAAAAAACTCTTCTATCAAAATATAGTTACTGTTGCACCTCGTTAACTGAAAATAATTCGATTCGACCCTAAGCTAACTCCATCGAAATCTCCATGAGGAGGAATTTTCAATAATTCAGTTTCAGCTTTTCAAATCTCCTTTTACTAGAAGGGCTTTTCGTTTCCCAAGGCAGCTCAATCAAGCAAGGTAACACTGCAAATTATTTTGTCGTGGAAACAGAGAGTTCATCGGAAAAATGTGAACCGTTATATTCATAATCATAAGAGCATTTTTTGTCATAATGTTACAACCATACCCACGCACAATCAGTGCTTTCGACTTTTTTTTTAAAAAGTTGTAAACAATATACAAGCGATAGCAACAAAACCGCTTTCTTTAAAATTTTTACCAGTTCAAAGCAGTGGAATTCTCGAAGGGCTGACAAATACGTTTATATTATAGTAAAAGAAATTAACGACCTAAAACTGAAATAGCCGAAAGAATCAGCTGACAATACCGCAGACGGCTATCAGCGTTCACATTTTCATGGTAAGGAATCATTGAAAGATCTGGAATTGATACTGGAATTTGTGAGGTGAGTCTTGTCTCGCCCTGTTTAAATATTAGACTTGTGTATGTGTAAGGAAGTCGCCTTTGTTCCATTATTTCACTTCAAACAGAAATGCAGGAAATTCCCAGTTCGAAACACTTACTTCGGTGATTTCCTCTTGGCCAACGTGGATTAGGTTAGGAAATTATTCTTAAGTGTTTTAAGACCTGAATTGTTTCAGACCTTGGTAGGTTTTATTTTCAAAGTCACATGTTGAAAATAATGGGCTAAAGGATAGCACGTTTCTGTTTCCTCGACTGAAAAAGAAGCGTGGATCTTGTCATTTCCGCTTTCGGTCAACGTCAGTCAGAAAGCATGGATAAAAGTCGCCTGGTTACCAAGCGCAACAGAGGTACATGAGTTTGTGGGGCGATTTCATGATAATTCTAATTGAACCGTGGTAACTTGAGAAAGTTTTGCTTTTCCAATCGTATTTGACAACGTTTTAAGGCTAAGTAAAACGGTTAAAATGAAATCGCTGAACAGTTTTTTTTTAGACTTCCCGCTAATATGACTCGTGATTCTCAAGCGATATCGGCCAGGCATGCTCGAACACGCCAGATAGTCTTTTTTTCCGTTTATAATAACATGACTCACCAAGTTTCCTTCATGCCCATCGCAGTCAGATGTTTCCTGTAACCAGTCCCAGTCCGAGGAAGAAGTGCAATTTATAGCGAGAGGGAAAATGTATGCTTTCAGTTACTGATCAATCTGGTTTGCTTTTTAACCTCTTACACGCTAACATCAGTATGCATATTCTCCATACTGTTCCCTATACATTTCTTAAGGTGCTGATAAGGAGAATTTGTTTAACAATCAAGGGCTTAATTCTCAGGTTGATGACCATTTCCTTTATTCTCACGGTGTTAATCAATGACTCAGTAGTACTGATTACTGTAAGGAGAAATTAGATGTAAGTCAATCCCGGGGTTCGTAGAGTTAAGAGAGGAAATGAAGGAAAGAGACAGGATCTTTCTGCTCGGTTTCGAGCGATTTTGGTTGAGCTAACGGAGAGCTCGATTCGGGAATCACGGGTTGCTCATTGAAAGTAGAAGCTGAGCTGTACCGTCACTATCTAATCACCAAAATATCCTAACCTGCCTGAAATAGATCTTGACGCAGTAAAAAAAAAAAAAAAAAAAAAAAATTCAAAAGAAACGATTGTGCTCAGGGAACCTTAAAACGCTGCATGATTTATGGTGATTACTTTCTCCTCTATAAAAAGGAAATAGACATCATGCTGGAATATTCCCCGACCCTCCCACTAATGTATAAGTGCTTCCTCCTTTTAAATCAGAAAATTGAAGTTTGGACGTGGTTCGAAAGTGATCGGTGATCAAGTGTTTTTTTCAACTTGGGCTATTACTGGGTCATTACTTAAACTTTCCATAAAAAATTGTAAGGGCGTTTGAGGATGAAATTTGTTTTTTTGTATTGCTGATTGTTTATCTCAGCGGTTATGAAATATCGACGGCTGTAAAACTGACACTTCCATTTCCGGTTTCTTTAAAAGCTTCTCCCTTTTCCGGTAAGTGACGTCACATCGTGTCAAATAGCTCTAGCTGTCATGACACGATGCTGCGGCGAGGAAAGCGAGTACTTCTTCCCCGATGATTTATTTGAAATTTTTCGTTTTATTTAGGGGCTTTGGAAGGGTGCTTCGGCTTTATAGATGCAAATCATATTCAAGGACTTAGATGAATGCAAAGAAGAGATACACTTTGATATTTTTGATCAGTGTGGTGTTCTGCAGTGCCTTCATTGTTTTCAGAAAATCAAACCGTGTTTGGCGCCGTTCTACGAGGAGAAATTCCTGGCACAACAGAGAAATCCAAGTAGATCAACAAAGACTATGTTTCTTAGACGAAGAAGATGAGTTTAAGCTGCACGATAAGGTGGGATTTCGGCATGAACGTGCAGCGGCGACGCGAACGACATGTACTATGGAAACATGTTTTGATAGGACAAAATGTTTGGGTGACTTTAAAGTTTACGTTTATCCTACTCAACCTGGCGAGAAGATTTCTCCTCTTTACGGCAAAATTTTGAAAGTGTTGAAGGAGAGTATTTTCTATACTGATGATCCGAAAAAGGCTTGTTTATTTATACCTTCTGTAGATACTCTCGACCGCGATAATCTCAGCGAGGATTACGTTCATGACTTACCTCACAAAATTGTATCGTTGCCACACTGGAATGGGGGCACAAATCATATTATATTTAGCCTTTTCTCCGGAACATGGCCTGATTACTCTGAAGACCTACGTTTAGATACTGGGAAAGCAATACTTGCTAAAGCATCACTCTCGACGGATTTTTATAGACTAGGCTTTGATGTCAGTTTTCCACTATTTTTGAAAAGTCATCCGCCGAAAGGGAACGCTATTGATACTCCTTCAAACTGCGCGGTATTTCCACTAGATAGAAAGTATAAACTTGCATTTAAAGGAAAACGTTATCTTAGTGGTATAGGAAGCGAGTCCAGAAACTCATTTTATCACATTCACAATGGAAAAGACATTGTGCTGTTAACAACGTGCAAGCATGGAAAAAATTGGAGAAAAAACATGGATGAACGATGCGAGAAAGACAACGAAGAATATGACAAGTAAGTAATAAGCGTCCGATTTATTTTGATATAGTACACAGCTGATCGCTTAATGATCCTTTTGAAATGAAAAATAAATTCAAAGTTTAGTTGTAAGGTGTCGTTATCCAAGCCAAGTTTGGCTCTAACAGCAGGTTATGTTCGACTTAGTTTTTAATTGCGAATTTAATCTGGAGGAATGTACCTCTTCAGCAGTTGTAAGCTTGTACTCAGAGGTTCATGCTGCGAATTAAGCTCACATGTAATTCCAACGCATTTATCTATTGTCTGCCTCAGTGTTGGCTCCTTAGACCTTTTACGACGTTCAAACGATGTGAGAATCATTCTGAATAATGCTATAATTTCTATCACGTGGATATTCCATTGTGATTATTTCTAAGGAACTAAAATGTATGTTTTTGTTGATGTTCAACGCATGACTTAAATTAGCCAAGGAATGAGCTGCATAAAATCAGGCATAAATTCCACATTTTGCACTCAAATGTTTCTGATTTGTTATCGTTCGCGAGAAGTGACTAAATTTATTAATTTAACTCTTGCATGTTATAACCATTCGCTCCAATTGCTCTCCTAACTGTTAATTAACACAGACTTAACTTTCTTTGCTTTGTGGAGCGTAAACATTATCTTGTCTAGTTGAATACCTAGATGTGCCCTTCATTTCGTGAACAAAATATTCTAATTTTTCACGCAAATTTGCATAGAATTTATGTATGTTTTTGTCGCGTACATTTTTACGCCGCAAAATAACGATATCAGATATTGAAAACCGCATATTGATATTGATTTTTGACATGATTGGTAAGAATTTGGCGTTAATTTCGAAAGAGGGTTTAAAATCATTCTTTCGCGGTTTTTAGTTTTAGCGCAAAAATATACCTCTCCGTTCTTACTAGACAAACCAAATTAATATAAGCAATACTCACACCTTTTAATGGCTTATAACTGATTATTTTGCTTAGATTTGCGTTTCTCTTAATATAGTTCTGAGAATTTTCACTTAAATAAAAGATATTCTGAAATTAATTTGATGTACAGCATAATTAAGCTGATAAAGTTATTCAGTTTATACATTTGTAGGTGTGGAGTGTTAAAGGAGTCAAGGTCATTTTGTGCTTAACTTGTTTGATTCTGGCAAAATCTGCTTCACAAGGGCTTTCCCTTGCATGTGGTTTTTTTTTCCTTTTTTTTCTTTTTCAAATAATAAAATGTGTACTTCTTTGTCGCAAAGACATGGTCCACTTGAAGCATGATGAATTGCGTCTATTTCCTTACCCACGCATGGACATAACAAAAGCTTTTAAACCTGAAAGAGCATTATTCAATAATGATTAATGTCTTATAGAGTAAGGGTGTTATTCTTCTGTTTCTGGACAATTTTGAAAGTTTATGTGTTCGTGGTTCATGAATCAAAGGTTCAGGAAACATTTTTGTAAAATCGACTCTAATATTAGCAACAACTTTGCCTGAGATGTTTTAAGATTAACCAATGATGTGAGAAACCACGAAATAGTTGGCATTCCCAAGTAGCTGAGAGAAGTTCTGCCCTGCTAGCTTTTTGAGGGTGACTTCCTCTTTTTTCAGAGTTTTTTGTTCAGTTAAAAGGCACAGATGGGAAAATGGTAGACACTGTCTGGCTGCTTATTTATTGAAGTGGTTTTTTTGTATACAGTTAACTCTGAAGTAGGTTTGTTTCCACCAACATACATAAATTTGTGATTAATAATATAAAATTTATGGATTCACTACCAGGGATATGTAAAAATTCAGAAGAAATACTTTAACAAGTCCTAAAAGTGTCATTGCAAAAGACAACCACTATATTTGTGAAAGTTATTCCAAGCTGAAACTTAAAAATAGCTCCATTACTAACAGTGAAAGTGAAATTGTTGAATGATATTGTAACTTTTCTAAAGAAGTGATGAAAGTCTGGGAGTTGTTTTTAACGGAAGTTATATTATTGTCTAAGAACCTTGCGCAGTTTCATAATAACTTAAGTATGAGGTTGGGAATGTTCAATATTCTTTTGCAATTTTTCATGCACACTTAACATTGATAATACTTAAGAAAACTCCACAGCATTACTTCGCATATTTTACCTGTGACGTGCATAATTTCTTTAAATGTAGAGGGAACTATAAGATATTGTGTCAGTAGGATGGAAGAATATCATAGAGGAATTTATAAACTTAAAAGAAAAATGGATGTGCATGAACTGCAAAGATTAAAACAGATTGTAAATGAGGAAAAATTTAGGTATATATTTTCAAGATAAGCCAATACAAATTCTCGAACACTTGAATTCCTTTGACTTTTTTTAGTCTTCTAAATATGCTAACAACAATTTTTATCACAAAATTAATCATGATTAATGCAAATTATTTTTCTTTCAGACTGACAGGAAAGGGTATTGAAAAAACCGTAATTGTTAAGTTAATTTTATTTTGTCAAAAAATACTCATCAATATGTCATACTAACCGTCAATACTAAGGCATTTTTAGACAAAATTTCTTTCCTATGGCAAACAAAGTAGATTTGTTTTTATGGTGGTTTCATTTATGGCTGCGAGATAATAGAACTTAATTTAATTAGTTTTCTGTTGAATCATTGATTGTTTGGAGTAATTCAGCTGTATTTGTTCAACCTTCACAAATTTTGACAAATACTTTCCATTCTTGCACCTGTAATGATTGTTATATATCGTGGGAAGACTAGGATGTCTCAATATTTTTTTTTTCAAAAAGGCCTGGAAAGATATTGGGAGAAGGAAAATACAAAAGTTTGGCTACTAAACTTAATACTGTCAAACCTATGGAAACTTGTGGAGTTCAGTGTTCTCTGCAGATTTTTAGTAACCAGTTATTCAGAATCTCTGTCCACAAAGGTGAAGGTAATTTATTTCAGAACAAGACTAGTGCCGAAATGAGTAGAAAGCATAAATGCTGATCACTTGTGCTTGTGAACACTGACTGAATCCAATTAAGGCTATTAAAGATGAATTAGAAAATAATCATTTATTATTTATCATTAATTCCTCGCAGATATGACTATGAAGAACTTTTGAAAAATGCGACATTTTGTTTGGCTCCCCGTGGTAGACGTCTTGGCTCCTATCGATTTTTGGAATCTCTTCAAGCAGGTTGTATTCCAGTCTTGCTGAGCAATGGATGGGAACTGCCATTTTCTGAGGTTATTGATTGGAGCAAAGCATTGATTCAAGGGGATGAACGTCTTTTGACAGAGATCCCATCAGTTGTCAGGTCATATGGTAAAGAGGAGATCCTAGCTATGAAGCAACAAACACTGTTTCTTTGGGAGGCTTATTTCTCTTCTATAGAAAAGATCTTGTTCACCACTTTAGAGGTGCGTCCAAATATTTTGTTACAATTTTGTATTGATGAGTCTGTTATAACCTATAATTAAACCTTTCACTCTCAAGATCTTATCAGTAATTCTCTCTAATGTCTGCTATACAATTCTTACAATGATAGTTTGGAGAATTTAGTATCACATCAATTATTAATTGGCTAATTGATCATTTTCTTCATTCTCATCTCTTCTCTTCTTAAAATCGTACAAATCCTGTATGGGGAAATTTTGTCTGTTTCACTCTGGGAGGAAAAAGGTTGTATGTTTTAAATGTGAAGTCTGGTTTGTGTTCAAGAGAAGAAAAATCTGCACTTGAGCCAAGTGGTTCATTCAGCTAAAGGTTTTTGCAGTTTCCATAGCATGATGCAACAAGTATCATTGTTCATTGTTACTCCACCTCAAATGAGATGCTGGTCCATAACAGGTCCCCACCTCCCTTCCCCAGGGATTTTGTCAGGTTCCAGTGACGGCTAGCCTGTACACATCTTTACAACTGGGAAGAGAGAGAGTAAAGTGTTTTGTTCTAAAATTGAAATATGATGACACAGCTATTTCCTGAACCTGGACCTCTTGACTCAGAGTCCAACATTAAACCGTTGATTCATTGCATTTCAAATACTTCTTAGAGTGACAGTTGTTGAAATTATCTACACAACTGGATTTAAATTCAAATTCTCAATACTAACCAGCCAAGGATATACCACTATTAGTTGGGAGAATCAACTCTTAGATCATGGGGGTTCAAGGTTAACTGGAGATATAGTCTTCACCTTTTGATGTACATGCTCTTGAATAAAACCCTTCTTGCATACAGGGCTGTCTTGAAAAAGTCATTTTTTCAAATTACCTTCAAATTGAGTATTTAAATATACCTGTAATTTAGCAGAGTTGATATTTTCATCCCCAAGATATAAATATCTTTTCTCTGTCTGCCTGCTTTACATTCCTTACCTTTTTAGCCCTGTAATTTGGTGTCAAATGAAACAGTCTTCCTTGGTTGATATTTCATCACCTCTACTACAAAATTTTATATATCTATTTTTCCACTATTTTCCATAGTTAGAGGCTCTCCATGGTTCAGCCTTAAAGCTGATTTCAATGGAGGCCTTTTTAAACACTAACAAGGCCAGACTACAACACTTAGAGCTAAATTTCCTTCTCTTTGCAACAAGAGCATGGGATCTTGAATGTGCCCTGCTAACCAGTACAGAGAAGACTAGAATATCTAATCATTTGTGAATGTCATAGCAAAGGATGCTCTTTGTCCTCAGTTATTTTAAGACTGTGAGTGTTGGTCTGGTCTGGTGTGTGAACCTTTTACCTCCTGCACTGCAGTCTGGCATTTTACAATATTCAATAACCAAGCACAGTTCAATCATTCAGCTATTTATTTGAGTTAATAAGATTTTTATTGTTGTGTTAATTTTGTAATGTATGTTTCAGGTCATCCGTATGCGATTATTTCCAAATAAGGCTGCTCTGAAGCCATTGTGGAACACTTTTCCTGGGGCTCTTGTCATGAGGCCTCAGTATTCTATGGATCCAAAAGACTTTCCCTTTTTTTATAGCAAGCTGGGAATTGTAGAAGAGAAATTCACTGCAGTTATATACAGCACAACATCTGTCCTCAAGGACTCTTCAGCTCTCAGCAGGTTAATCAAGAATGTTGGAAAATCCAAGTTCATTGCCAAGGTAATTAAGACAACATATCAAATATTTAGTTTCCAAGCTGGGGTTACTACCTCGTCAGTTAAAAAAATTCCATTCGATAACTGGAAGATATCTTGTTCCTGTCCCGCATTGGATTTGTATCCTAATACATGGATAAATAACTGGCAAAGTTAATGTCAAATTTGGGGAAATGCCTCACATAGCATCTGCTTACACTAAAATTAATTGACATAACAATATTGATGGATCTGGACTCATCTCTCCTTAATGGTGAGAAATGAAAAAAGATATGTGTACCTTGAATAAATGTCCGCTAAGTCATTGAAATTTGACAGTGACAAAACTCTCAAGAGACAAAGTAAAGTCCTTCCAATGTCCTTAAAATTTTGTCAAATAAGTCGCACATTAATGACACAAGCTTCCTATGGGAAAGGTATGGAATTTAAAGCCTTAGCCAAGTCTTAACTGACTGAATTAATCAGTCGTCAACTGTAATGTTATTCTAAAATTCACTATCTAAATTTAGTCATCCACTTTGGTCACAATCAGCTACTGTTTAATAATGTTTGAGTCTTTGCACACTCACCTCAATATGCATATTTTCCATACTGTTCTCTATAAATATCCTAATGTGCTGACAAGAAGAATTCTTTTGC